TCTGATATATTTGGCTTTGTCACTTTGCATACACATCTGCACTGGTCTGCAATTAGACTGCTTCCTGTTGCAGTGCAGGATATGGTGAGGCTGTGAAGCTTCGCTACAGATGCTGTCTAGTAGGATGTCAGCAACTAGCCAGCGCCCCTGAAGGAGAGCCGTTAAGTCACGGACCAGAGATTATTCCGGGCCCAGAGGTATCCGATGTAAAGGAGAAGAACTGATTAAAGTAATGGACTTTTATTGATTCATTCACATAACTCGGGTCGAAAAATCAAACGAGGAGCAGAAGTTAAGAAGATTTTATCATCAGATGTTTGGACTAAAAGTCTTTTGATCTGATGAATATTTCTGCTGACCCGTTTTCATTAATATCAGTTATAATTGTTCTGAAAGTGGCTGCTTTCCAAATGCCGCCTCCTTCCTCGTCTGGAGAGCTGGAAAATGTGCGTCAGCTACTTCCTCCTCCTCTCTCCTCCCTCCTGGTTTCAGCTTCCTGTTTTCAGCGCTGCCTGGAAGTGAGAAGCTTTGATTGGAGGTTCCTGCTGGGGCCTTTATCCAGCTTCTGCTCTGCTGCAGGATCTGTAAACCTTTTACTTTACATCAGAAACAACCTTGGAGAGAGAGAGCTCTGGAGTATTTCTCTTTTTCTGCTCTTGATGGTTCGACGCAGAAACCTTTAGTTTGAAAGCATCTTCTGTACATCAGGCTGCAGAATTAGCATCTCGATTTAACTTTACCCTAAAGATGTGCCGTTTCTTCTGTTCCTCATTAGTGGGACATTTAGACCATCTCTGACCAGAATGTGCGGAATATTTGTTTTAACGACTCTGCTTTAACTCCACACGCCACTAAACTGTTGGTGGCTGACTAATGTGTAAAATGTGGATAAATTGAGACATGATGTCACTAAACTGAAACAAGAACTTTTACATAAATGTTATTATATATTTTGCAAGTTTTGACAAAAGCAAAAGCGCTACGTGTTCCAACTGGAAGTTTGTGTATTTTCTGTCACCAACTCCGTGAGATTGTGGTTTGAAGCAGCAGATTTAACAAGAAGGTCCAGAAGCAGAAATAAAACTGAAACATTAAACTGAAGTGATTCTGGATTATGAGAAATGATTCCTTTAATCTGATTGTTAAAACCTGAGGTGTAAATCACTACCCTACCACTAAAGAGGTCCTTCACTCATATAATTTGCTGTGGTTTCTAGTACAAAGCTTAGCCTGGTGGGAGACCATCTTGGATGAGTCTCCATTCACCCCCAGTGCACTCATTTCTACTGTGGAAGGTGCTTACCCAACTAAAAACACTTTTTATTGAGCTTTTTCACAAAATCAGACACATGGTATGGCATGATAATTAAATTATACATATAATTAGAAATTATTTAAAATATAAAATCCCATCAGGTGGGCTACAAAAGGCCCTAGTAATCCCACGCCATCTGTTTTCAATAGTACACAGGTCATTGGCTGCACACAAACGGGCATAGTTGCTCACTCTGCATTTATTTTCAATCAATCAATCAAATATACTTTATTGATCCCAGAGGGAAATGTTTCAGTACACACAATTCAGAGATCAGACATACATGGGCAAGACACATGACAAGAATTGGTGACTGGGGTCATTCGCAACCCTGAGTCGCGCTACCTTAATAGATATAAGAGGGTTACATGAGGAATTGATTCGGGAGGAGGGACAAAAAGGCACTTCACAGTTACCAAAAAGCAGCTGAAGACTCACTTGTTCAAGCTGGCTTTTGTATGACCTTCTTCACCTCTCTCTCTTTATTCTGCTCTCCCCACATATTCCACCTTCCTCAGGATCCACTGATTTCCCTCTTCCCTATTCACACTCTCTCTTTCTTAACATTTTTTCTTTTAAATCCCAATTGCTTATTCTTGCTCATTTTAAATATATTTTTAAACATTTTCAAAATGCTTTTTTTTTCTATTTTTACAATTTTTGTTATTTTTTGTTTTTGTGAAGCGCCTCGTGATTTTTATCTTGAGAGGCGCTATAGAAATGATTTCTTCTTCTTCTTCTTCTTCTTCTTCTTCTTCTTCTTCTTCTTCTTCTTCTTCTTCTTCTACCCTCCCAAGAGGAGGGCACCTTTGCTCTGCAAAAAAACACCTCACACAGATATGCAACAGACTTCAGACTTTGGAGAGTGAGGAGACCCATCCAATATGGCGACAATGCTGTTACGCTCTCCAGCGCCCAATGGGGCATCTACGTATTCATGTCTATGGCTGAGACGTTTGCTGCTGTTTGCTGGATGCTGAACCAACAGCAACCTTTGCAGTCGCAAGCTAAGTTGGGCGAGTTCATGAGCTTCCCTGTCGATTTTCTTCCAGTAGCTGATGCAGGCGATGGGGGTTGAAGACTATTTTCACGTTCTGCATGCACAAGTGCTGTATGAGTTGCACACGCATGCTGAGCATGAACATCGTCTGCAAACCCCATCACCTGCATCAGCTGCAGGAAGGAAAGAGGTGAGAAAACAGTCGGGTCAGAAAAATCCAGCCTCTTCTCACCAAAGCCATAAATCATATCCAGCTTATTTGACGTGATGAAGTGGACGTAAAGATGAGTTTTGCTATGTTTGTCGTTACGCTTTGTTAAGAGTGATGTCACCTCTGTGAGCTTGCTTCAGGGATTTGATTTAAGTCTGCAAAACCAAAGTATTCATGTCTTTACCTAGGCGGTACAAACTAGGCCAGCTCTTCCTTCTCGTCCTCCCCTGAAAGTCACCTTTCTCCTGAATCGACAAAACCTTTAAAGGTTGAATAATTTGCTGCAAATGCAAAATGTCCACCCCAGCGGATTAAGATCCGACACCATTCATCTACAGCTCTGGGTTTTCAGGCTCTACATCTGTTTAGGAGTTGAAGATAAGAGTCTTATCAGCTCCTGGGTCTGATATTAGTCTGACTTTTTGGGTAGATCCAGATCGAGGCTGCAGCTGTAGAGTTCAGTGTGTTTGTCTTCGGACAAGAAAATATCCGGCATTCCTCTACAGGTGGAAGTGGAGGTTCCTGAACCAGCTAACAGCAACATGCATGTGAACAGGAATTGTTCTGATCCATTTCAGCCCTGTGCATGTCCACCATTAACTCCGTTGGGGCTGAGACTGTTTCAAGAACGAGATGAGACAAATATCCTCATGTTAGTTGCTCTTTAACTTGTCTCAGTTTAGTTTCTGCAAAGCAAAACGTCTGGTGCAAGTTTGGGAGAAGCGGGCACAGAGTTCGTTATAAGAAATGATAGATTAAGCCGATCTTGCTGAACATTTCTGATAACCAGACAACTCCTTTTGTGTGTTTGTTTCGCCATCAAATCTACCAAAAACAGAAGCATCTTTAAATTCGATGTGGCCCATTTAAACCAGTATTTCTGCTCCTGCTGGTGACCAAACGGTGAATAAAATCACTTTTTTTTGGACTTTTCTGACTAAATTGCAACAGGTTTCCCCCTTCACACTCCCCATGTGACCCGGACAGAAATATAACTTGTTACAGAAGTTCGTACTCACCAATTCTGTGAAAATGTGCAGTTTTTTTTTGTTTTTTTTTTTGTATTTCATCGTCTCTGGCCGATCTCTAGCGGTCCCAGCTGGGTGAGATCATGGCTTCAGTGTTAGCTACAGTAGTCCTTCAGTAAAAACACAAATATACGCTTCCTTCTTCCTGGCACTCGCAGAGAACAGACGCTTCTCTTTTTGCTCCCTTATCTTTTTTTCCCAAGGCTCTTTGTCCTGTCTGCCCACAGAGCGCTTCTCTGCATTTCTTCTGAAAAACTCTATTTTTAACCATGGATTTGATAAACTGGTCATTCAACGCGATTGATAAGATTTTTTCAACAATGAGAACGGAGCAGGGGGCTCCCACATGTCCACAGGGGACACACCCGGCGGGGTATATGCTGGATTCCTGGAGGGAATGGAAGATCATATGCCTCTCCCAGCTGTCCATTGAGGATGTCGAAGACGTGTGGATATTCGGCCTGATGATCACTGGAATTCTCCTGATTGGAGTGGGAGGATATCTGGTTTTCTGGAAATTTGGGAAGACGGGAGCGATTGGAGGGCGACCCGCACCCACGGAAAGCACCGTCCGTGTGGAGACTTCTCAGACTGGGACGTTACTCGAGGTGAATCGTTAGCTGGACAATGTTCTAGCTGCGATACCGGTATTTGTGCGTAAAATGGATGTCATCTCGGAGAGAGTCACCGGACTGTATGGACAAGTTTAAAAACCCAAAATTGGCTTCACTGAACAACTGGAAATGATCAGTTTAAAGACTGAAGGCAGAGAGGAAAATTATCTCAGCCTGACCCAAACAAAGTCTTGTTATCCGAATCTGACGCCCTGGTAGCCTTGAGAGGCTAGCAACAAACCCCCACGAAGGAATGCAGACAGATGCTGTGAAAACCCGACCTACTAACCCCCCCCCAACACACACACACACCCACCCCCGCCTTCGGATTGGTGGACTTAAGCCTGGCGAGGTAATCAACCTGCAGGAGTCAATGTGCTCTGCGCTTCTCCCGAGATCTCCCTCCCACCTGTGGCTACAGTGGCTGAGCACCATACATGGCTGCTCTTGCTGGGGCAAGCAGGATCCCGCCTTCCTATTGGAGTCTCATGTTGTGTTGTCTGAAGTCTGTTGCATATCTGTTGGAGGTGTCTTTTTGCTGAGCAAAGCTACCCTCCTGGTGGGAGGGTAACTGTGAAGTGCCTTTTTTTGTCCCTCCTCCCGAATCAGTTCCTCATGTAACCCTCTGATCTCTATTAAGGTAGCGCGATTCAGGGTTGCGAATGACCACAGTCACCAATTTTTGTCATGTGTCTTGCCCATTTATGTCTGATCTCTGAATTGTGTGTACTGAAACTCTAATTTCCCTCGGGGATTAATAAATTATCTTTGATTTTGATTGATTGATTCCACTTGACCATTGTAGTCTGATGTCGTGGTTTCTGTCTTGCAGCTCTGATGGTTCTGGCTGAACAGTGACCACTGCCTGCTTGAGGAAACCTGCCGCCCAGTTCCCCTCATCATGTCTGGGATCCATGTAAGTGCTTTATTACTATGGAGGATGTTTTTGATGTGGACTGCTGAGTTTCATGAATACATTAATGGACTCTAAATTAAATACACAGTGAGTCTTAATGTTGGAAGACTTAAAAAGCAGCAATTCAAAGCTTGGATTTGAACTGGCCGCCTTCCTGGCGTGTGGCAATGGTGTGACCAACAGTGCCACCATGCATCCGCCAGGTCAGTTCTTGTTTATTGTCAGTACCAAAGTTCAATCTGATCCTGATCTTCTAGAACGGTTTTTGTTCTTTACTTCCTCATTGTCTTGTTTTATCAGCATCAGGTCTAAAATCACCCCGTTGTTTTTTGAGTCCAAAGATTGTTTTTCACTCATCGGCATTCAGCTTCCTCGTGGAGAAAAGAAGCAGAAAGTAAAATCAGTGAAGCATTAAACACTTTTCTCTTTATATGGTTGGATTTAAACCAAATGCTGGTGATTTACAGTCCTCGGCATAGATGAGCACACCCCACTACATTAGTCAGAAAGCCTTTAGCTTCCTTTCAGAATCAACATTTTCTATGATATACCATACTACACCATACCATATTACACCACACCATACTACACCATACCATACTACACCATACCATATTACACCACACCATACTACACCATACCATATTACACCACACCATACTACACCATACCATACTACACCATACCATATTACACCACACCATACTACACCATACCATATTACACCACACCATACTACACCACACCATACTACACCATACCATATTACACCACACCATACTACACCATACCATATTACAACACACCATACTACACCATACCATATTACACCATACCATATTACACCACACCATACTACACCATACCATATTACAACACACCATACTACACCATACCATACTACACCATACCATATTACACCACACCATACTACACCATACCATATTATAACACACCATACTACACCATACCATATTATAACACACCATATTACACCATACTACACCATACCATATTACACCACACCATACTACACCATACCATATTACACCATACCATATTATAACACACCATATTACACCATACCATACTACACCATACCATATCACACCATACCATATTACACCACACCATACTACACCATACCATATTACACCATACCATATTACACCATACCATATTATAACACACCATATTACACCATACCATATTACACCATACCATATTACACCACACCATACTACACCATACCATATTACACCATACCATACTACACCATACCATACTACAACATACCATACTACACCATACCATACTACAACATACCATACTACACCATACCATGCCGTTGTGTTAAATAAATTGCTTTAAGAGCTTAATAAATTTATTAACTCAACTTGTGACCAGTAAGCTGTGATACTCTATATAAATATAGAACATCAACCTGCTTGGTCTTAGGATGTTTAATCAGAAGATTCTAGGATTCTTTATTCATTAGGGGATTGTACACACTTCGTTTTGATTCAAGAAACAGTAAGGTTTGTAAAAGTAAGAATTTTACAATCAATTAAAACTTGACAAATTGGTTAAACTATTATTTATTGTGAGTGGATGGAACTAAAAGGTGATGTCTGGAGTCTATGTGTGAATATAATGTAGTCAGAACTTCCGTATCTCGGAGAGCTGAGCACTGGATGTAAAAGAATTTGGTTTGCGTTAAGCTATGAGGTTGATTCTTATCAAAACCCACATCCAGATGCAATCTCGCTGTGTTCTACGTACCAAAGTGGAGACGCCCTTTTGGATCCGAGATGTCAGCATTAAATTAGAATATTAGAACTTTATGAACTTGTAATAAGTTCTTTACCTGATAAATAGTCAGATGTGATCTGAGTGTAATAAATGCTTTTGGGTGACTGAGTTTTATTATTTGAATAATGACTTGATGCAATTTGCTGGGTTCCTTATATAGGAAACATTTTTTCTGATTGGCTTAATGAACTGACCTGAATTGGAATGTTTATTATGTGAAGTGCCTTGAGACGACTCTTGTCGTGATTTGGCGCCATATAAATAAATTGAATTGAATTATTATGTTGCTGCAGAGGAATAAAACAGCTGGTCTAACGAGCTGTTAGTGGGGATGTTTTGATTTGAAACCCAAACCCCGGTGAGCCATGGCAGGGATCTGCTCATACTGATCCAGGTTCTGTTGGACGTTCCTTCCTGCTAAAGGGGAGTTTTCCTCTCCACTGTTGCTACATGCTTGCTATGGGCACTGCTGTAAAGTCCCTGACACAAGTCAGTGACTGGATGCAATCTGCTGGGCTTCCTACATAGGCAACTTTTAACTAATTGTAATGTTTACTGTTAAAAGTGCCTTGAGACGACTGGGTTCATTAAAAAAAATTAAAATATATTTAAAATAACTAAAATAAAATGGAAATCCAAACTGACTAAAATCCGTCTAAGAATGTAATTTGACCCAAACACTCGGGTAAAAACATGAAAAACTCATATTTAACTAAGAAAGAAGTTGACTTATGTTGTGCAGTATTTTAAAATCATTAGATAACTAATTTAATTATTAAAGCCCATCAGTTAGAGATGATTGATTCTAACCTCCAGGGTGCTGTGGTAGTTCATTCTGTCCTACTTAGGCTTGTTTTTATAGTTCACTGGACGGGTTCTTGGCTTGTTAGCTTCATTAATCTGACATAATCAGGGGAGCAAAAAGTTTCACAGAATAAAGAAAAAGCACTCTGGTCTCAGGAGAATATTGAAATTATTTACTTGCTGCTCTGATTTCTAACCACAGAAAAACTAACAGAATAAAAAGGCTTTTTATTTTATTATAATCTTATTTCTTCTGGCCGACCAAATCTGCCGACTCGTTCACTCACACCTGCTGCTCTGTCAGCTCGTCTCATTTCAATAATCTGAGGATCGTTTGGATTAGATCTGGTTGATGGTAGTTGATGATGTCATGCTGGGGTAACGGTGGAGGAACCGAGGCTCTGACCGGACCGAGCTGCACCAGGTAAAGCTGGTCCCTCTGTGTTGCAGGTGCCGTGGTCCACTGGCACAGAGTGTGTTGCCAAATATAACTTCAAGCCCGGCACCGACCAGGACCTGCCCTTCTGTAAAGGAGATGTTCTGACCATCGTTGGAGTCACTCGGGTAAGAATCCAGAGGAGCGTCGCCTAAAGACCGTCGTTAGCGCGGGGTCTGATAGAATTAAATCCAATTAAAGATGGCTGCAGGGCGAACTAACATCAGCAAACACAAAAATGGCTCCAATTCTGCGGGTTTTACAGAAATTAAACCCAAAACCAGATTTAACTGGATTTACTAAAACTCTGTCATTTATCAACATAAAATGATTTTAGATTAAACCTGTGGGATTAAAGGTTGTTGGATAAATCCGTTCCTTTACGGAACTGGATTAAAATACCGGTTTTATTCTCCTCTTTATTTTTAAATTGATTCATAGATTTCTAATATGTTTAAAAAATCTATTCTAATAAAAAGAAACTCATTGACTGTTTTATTTGACCATTTCCTCCTTTTGAAAAAGGAGAGGATAAAATTATAAACGTGTTTATTTCTTCTGCCACATTCGTTCATGGGTTTCATTATTTTATCTGTTTTTTTTATAATGAAAACATTTTCAAAGAGAGATTTTATGATCCAATAACAAATACAAACTTTTACACTTCTGGAGTAAAAAATACTTCTTTTTTTTTTTATCATTTTAAACCGATTTATCTGTAATTTGACTTTTAGCCTGTTTAACCCTAACGCCCCCCATTTGGGGGCCTCTACAGTTTCATGTCCCAAACATCTACAACTGTCCACATTCTCCAAACACAACTAAAACCACAATCAAACAGCCCAGATGGGAAACAAGGCTGCTTTAAAGGGGCATTATGGAAGTTTGACAGCCAAAACATGTATAGAAATAATAAATGTCTTCTTCATACATTCTCCTGCAATGCCCTGGTCCTGTAGAATGAGCCCTGGCATTTTTACTGTGATTGCCTGTTTTTCTGTAAAATCACAGAAAAAGAGAGATGCTCGGGTCGAGCAGGCTGCTTCATGCGCGTTCACGCTCAGGCATCGCCCGTAGCATTTGCTATCCGTAGCTTTAGCAGCAGAGAGAGAGGCAGTGCCACTTTGTCGCTGTTCCTAACGCCTAGTGACAAAGCTAGCTACATTTCTGAGGACCCTTAGCTACTTTCTGTAGAACTTTCTTCTAGATATTTCCTGCAGATTAGCAACAAAATAGCCATTTTCGCTCCGAAGCGTTCTTTGGTTTGACGTTGTTTCAGCTGTCATCAAGGATATAAATGTTACAGATGCTGTGATTGTTACTGGCGCTTTAGCTCACGTAGTAAGATGTCTGACTCCCATGCAGAAGACCTGGGTTCGATTCTGGATGTAAACTTAGTTCATTTAGAGTTTCTTTTTTACATTAATGGTATTTTTTTACAGTAAGATGCCCAAATTTTTATTTGAGACTCGCAGAACGGCATTGAATTCACAGATAAAAAAGATGTGGGTTCAACTTTCATTTTGGAACAATTTTTCAAGCAAGGGAAGGGAATGATCTGAGCATGCAGGAGGACTGACCCATCATAAACCTTTGTCGGCTGTGCTGAAGAGAAAGGTACAGAACCAAATTATTTAATTAATTAGCTGCGTGTTCTCCTGTCCTCCGGGCCACACGCACACACACACACACGGCACTGTCTCAGCTGTTATTTTCATTAAGGAGTGTGCACGTACAGCATGCGTGCCTCGTGCACGAGCCTACTATTGAAGCTGCCGTTACGCTTTTGGCCTGAGGGGGTCACGTCCCTTTAAATTGTAATAAATTAAGATACAATGATATTTAAACTTTATTCTAGAAGAGCATCTGACCCTCTCTGGTGTCTGCTTGAAAAAAAACCTTGAACAAATTTAGTCGAGGACCCCTGGAATAAATAACACAACTGACTAAATTTCCTAAATGGAATTTGAACTCACAACCTCCATCCTGTCAGCACGTTCACACAGGGCAGCTCTTCTAAAATAAAGTTCAAGTATTATTTTATCCTAATGTATCAAAAACCAAAAATTGCTTTTTTTTACAATCTAAACTGTTGATTGGAGCTGGAGCTGTGCTCGGGGAATGCAAACAATCGCTGACACTTGGGACATGAAACTCCAAAGGCCCCCGACTGGGAGGCGCCAGGGCCCAATAAAAAACGGCCTAAAGGGTTAAAACTGAAACAAACACATAAACATGGTTCTGAAACCATTTTAAAATACCACATATTTATTGGTTCCTTTTTTTGTTGGATTTGAAGATAAATAATTTCTCACTGAATTTTATTGATGCCTTTTTAATGACTTTGATTTTTTAATCACCTGTTTAGTTTCCTACAATAGAATATTTTAAATATGTTTTATTAGACAAAAATCAGTTTTCAGTTTTTATAATAATTATTAATATTATTATGTATTTAGTTATTTTTTTCATGTTTTTAGGCTTTTTGAACTTTTAAAAAATATATTTTGTTTTATTTAAAAAGATAAATCCTGACTCCTTCTGGAAAAGTGTTTTTTCTGTTCAGAGGGATCCCTGAGGGCTTGGAGACAGAACACTGACCTTTTTGACCTTTTCAGGATCCAAACTGGTACAGAGCCAAGAACACCGGGGGCAGGGAGGGCACCATTCCAGCCAACTATGTCCAGAAACGGGAAGGAGTCAAATCAGGAGGGAAGCTCAGTCTCATGCCGTGAGTTCATTGTGTTTGTAATATCGTGTGTTGTTGTAAAAGCTGCTCATCGTTCCCAAAGAACGTTTCAGAGGAAACGAGGAACGGCGGGAAAGTGTTAACAGTTGTGCGTCGAGCCCATTGGTGTAGCACGTTTAACCGTGTGAACGAGTCGCGGTGCTTCCCACAGCGAAACAAAACACGGCCAGCTTCAGATGAAGGGTGTTCTCTAGAGTTTTAGTTTTCTGTCGTCGTCGCGTGGTTCAGAACCGCCTGGGGGCCACATCAGAACCACATCAGAACCATATCAGAAACACATCAGAACCTCGTTTCAAAGCTGCAATGTAAAAAAAGACAAAGAAACAAGACCCGTGAGCTGAGCTGCTTCAGGAACCGGATCATCTGCAGCTGTTGGGCTTTTAGAAGAAGTTCAACTTAGCCCGACTCGAGTTAGACTTTAACTTTTGTCCAGAAAATATCATTTTAAACTCATTATTCTTATGTCTTTATGTGCAGGTTTATGTGTTTTACATCATGATGGAAACAAAGACCAACCGTTAAGTCACAACTTGTTCATGAGCTGCGTTCAATAACGCTAGTTTATTCAGAGATGCTGAAAGTTTTATTGTCTTTAAATGCACCATCACATAGTAGCCATTAAAAGATAACTCACCTATTCGTGTTGGCAGTGAAACATTCCTACCTCCAGAACCATCGTTAATAACGTATTTACTAGGGATGAGCGAGTACACCACTGTCTGTATCTGTATCTGTATCTGTTCAACCATCTAAATTATCTGTATCTGTACTCGGAGTGGGTGTGGCCTATCCCGGAAGTGGGTGTGGTTTAACCGGAAGTGGGTGTGGTTTACATCAATACGTTATTTTAAGTCTGATCAGAAGATGCTGTGTGTATTGTTTATTTGAAAACTATTAACAGAGCAGGCTCAGAGTTGAGATTAAATGTTTTTGATCACAATAGTGAAGGAGTTATTACAGAACAAGTTTTTCAATAAAATCAGAACATTAATATTTAAGTGCATGAATTAAGAGAGAGAGAGAGAGAGAGAAGAAAAGATTTTTTCTATAGCGCCTCAAGATAAAAATGACGGGGCGCTTCACAAAAACAAAACATATAAAATAGAAAAAACAATTTAGAAAATGATTAAAATATATTTAAAATGAGCAAAAAATAGACAATTGTGATTAAAAAGTGTAAAGAAAGAAAGATAGTGAATACGAAAGAGGCAGTTGATCCTGAGGAAGAGGAGAGAATGGGGGGGGGGGGGGGGGGGGGGCGGTGGATGACCGGAGTGGAGGCAGTGACTGACGCAGCACGGGCCGTTTTCAGCTCTGTCTTGTCAAATGCACCACGTACGTTACGAAAAAAGTTACTTTAAATAACTTTAAAAAGAAGCGAACTGAAGAAAACATAGGGAGTACTGAAGAAACGTGAACAGTGAAGCAAGCACAGAGAGATCCGTTACTGTGTGTGTGTGTGTGTGTGTGTGTGTGTGTGTGTGTGTGTGTGTGTGTGTGTGTGTGTGTGTGTGTGTGTGTGTGTGTGTGTGTGTGTGTGTGTGTGTGTGTGTGTGTGTGTGTGTGTGTGTGTGTGTGTGTGTGCGTGCGTGCGTGCGTGCGTGCGTGCGTGCGCGCGCGCGCGGATGGACCAGACGCGGACTGAGCTGTGAGCTCCCGGCTGCAGTTTTGTGTGTAGGGAGGGGCGGGTGCTCTATGTGACTGGCCAATCACAGAGCGTGAAGACAGTCAGTTACCCAATGAGGATTTTCCTTCAACACGATTACAGATATTTACGAGTTGTACTCGTTTCATGCTCGTACTCGTCAAAAATGCTTTATCCATACCAGATACTCGTCTGAAACGAGTATCCGCTCATCCCTAGTATTTACAGCCCGGTGAACCGCACTCAGCAGGTTCTGGGTCCAGAACCGCTGCAGCTTCAGCTCTCTTAGCTGCAGCGTAAAATCCACTTGTATGGATTTTAGTAACTTTTAGCTGTTCTGGGTTTGTAGTCTGCAAGTCTGTGCTGCAAAAAACTGAAACTTCTCAAGAGAAGGGCCAGAGCGCATAAATGTGGGCCACAAAAATCTGTTTTTATAAGCAAAATATTGTTTTATTGGGATTTTTTTTGTTTGTATACTTCATAATGGGCCCAAAATAGGCAAATTAGTAAAAATCTGAAGCTGAAAATGTTCTACAATCTACATAAACAACCTGCTGATGAGACAACATTAATCATTCTAGAAATGTAAGTGTGGGCTGCAAGAATCATCCAGAGGGCCTTAAATGGGCCCCGAGCCACATAATGGGCATGCCTGAACTACATTATACTTCACTGGGACATTTTTATTATTTAGTAAATAAAATCCTAATCTTTAATAATGACATTTTTCATCAGAACTAAATTAAAATGCTGCTGATTTCCATTAATTTTGAGTTTGACCTGGCTGTGGTCCCTTCACCCTCCAGCCGTCACAAAGGACTGAAACTCGCAGCAACGTTTTAATTTCTGTCATGAATCACGAACAGATGTGTGAGGAACTGTTCCGGGTTACATAAGAGATCAGCTGAGGTCCCCAATCTCACGCTGTTGATCCTCAGCAGAAGATCCAGTCCTGAAACTCCATCTGCTGCCCCCTTGTGGCTGAATCCTGTCCCGCAGCAGCTGCAGCATCCTGGCTTCTTCCTTCCATGCTGTCCCCTACAAGCTGTTTACCATGTTTGTGTTTGACTTGAGTATGATGTCATGTCTGAAAAGCACAGCTGATTTCCAGGGACGTTCCCTCTGAGTGGTTTCGTGTTCGCCCGCTCGGCTTGGCGCCTCCTCTCAGATTAGTGGGAGTTAAAGAGCTGCTGTCTGCGCTGATCTAATCAACTCAACCCGCAGTAAGCTGCTTTTGCACAAGGACCTCCGCTGTCTCAGGCTGCGGAGTTTGGAGGAGATGGAGGATGTGACGGAGGCAGCTGCAGAAAAACAGGATAAATCAATTAGAGGAGTTAATTACCACCCATTGACCAGCCGGCACTGATGGGAAGAGCCTCCTGCTGAGAGGTTTCCAGGAGCGACATCCGTCAGTCGGGTACAGATGTGCTCTCTCAGGTTATTGGGTGGAAATGAGCTTTTCTAGAGAGAACCTGGATGCTTTAAACCTTAAATATTTGTGTTCCTCCAGCACAAAGAGACTGAAATTCATTGAAAACAATTAGCTGGTTTATTAGCTGTAAAATCAGTTTTTTATGAGAACGGATAAAAACCGCCTCAACAGGATGCAGTTGTGTCCTGACCCGACTCTGCGTGGGCTCCAGGTTTTGATCAGGTCGGTTCAGGTGCATCATGGACTTTCTGCTGTAGGGAGATGGTCCAGTAGTCCTCTGGTTGGTGGTTTCCTGCACCCTTTATGAGCCGTTTCATCATCTTCCTGGAAAACGAGCCTTCAGAGTACTAAAGGAGCTCGTCTGGAATATTTGGTTCAACCAACCGAATCAGGTTGATCTCAATTCCATCATGGACCTGGGCCGAGGGTGGCACAGGGGTTAAGTGCTTGCCCGTTAATTGGAAGGTTGCAGGTTCGAGCCCCGTTCAGTCTGTCGCTGTCGTTGTGTCCTTGGGCAAGACACTTAACCCAGCTTGCTTGCTGGTGGTGGTCGGAGGGACCGGTGGCGCCTGTGTACGGCGGCCTCACCTCTGTCAGTGCGCCCCAGGGCAGCTGTGGCTACATCGTAGCGCATCACCACCAGTGTGTGAATGTGTGTGTGAATGGGTGAATGAGTGATTGTGTTGATAAGCACTTTGGGGGTTCCAGGACTCTGGAAGGCGCTATATCGAATGCAGGCCATTTACCATGAACTCAATTCTGTCCGTTAACGGGCGAATTTATAGATCCGCCATTTTCACAGAAATCTTTAGAATATCAGAAAGTGGAAGTTAAGAGTTTTGAAACTCCAGGTCATGCCCCTTTAAATCTTGGAGAGCAAAGGTCGGCACAACAGATGGTCAAATATTATCGTTGACTGTTGAGATGTCATTTATCTTAAGTACGAGTTATTTTCGTCAGCCTGAATTTATACCCGGAAATAAAACCGTTTGTTTCAGCGAAGCTCCGCCCACTCTGACTAAACGTGCCTACAACAGCATCTTAGACAAGCTGCTGTTGTGTTGTCCTTGGTGGTCCAGCAGTTTAAGTGTCTGCCTTTCGTCTCGTTTTGCCTTGAGTTGACGCGGGTTTGATTCCCGGTGTCGGCAGTAATTTATTTAGCCAGCTGAACCACGTTTAGTCTTTTTCATATTTGATTTTTATTGATTATTTTCTGCTAAATATTTTGTCTAAAGATCCGATTTTGGTCATTTCCAAGCAGCATTTAGTTGACGTGCTCTGCTCACCTCAGGTGGACTTACACAAAACAGATTAGTCCTCATAATTTAAACTGTTTACCAATAAAGGGCTGGACGCATCATACCGGCAAGTGTAGCTAAAAAGTCAGAGCGGGAGGCGAAAACTACCCGCCTTCTGGACCACCGAGTCTGTTACTAAATAGCAGTCGCCCGGGACGTTACGTGCATCTTTGTAGACGGGGCGCATGTTTTTACGGCGGCGATTTGTCCCCAATGCAGAAGTAATCTGTCAGAATATTCATGTTCGGGGGCTACAAAGAGGCTGTCTGTGGGCAGCGCCCACATTTAGTAACTGGTGTGTGTGTGCGTGCGTCCCTCCCCTGAGCGGACTGGTAGTTTTACCGCCAACTTCCTGTTTCATCACGGCTCTCGTTCTCTGCTTCTTCTTCCAGAGGAAGTCTAGAAATATTTCTGCTTGTGGTTGAATTTTCTATCCGGCATCATTATGTCTAAACATCATTTACCACCATTACTGCTTCACCGCTCTCACCTGTCCTGCTCTCCATCGTCCCTCCAGGTGGTTTCACGGGAAGATAACTCGTGACCAGGCTGAGCGGCTCCTCTACCCACCAGAGGCGGGCTTGTACCTGGTGAGGGAGAGCACCAACTACCCTGGCGACTACACCCTGTGTGTCAGCTGCGACGGGAAGGTGGAGCACTACCGCATCATCTACCACAACGGAAAACTCACCATTGACGAGGAGGAGTACTTTGAGAACCTCATGCAGCTGGTGGAGGTGAGGATGGTTCCTGCTCCGATGACCCGTTAGGTTTTCTGCATCTGGTCGTCTTTAAAGGTCGTCGTCACACTTTATTCTTCAACACCCGTCAGTTTCGGTGTTTTTAGTTACTTCATCTCACCTAAAGTTCCAGAAGTAAGCGGACAGTTTCCAGATGCTGCTTCCCTAAAAAATAAAAAAGCTTTTCTGCTAAGCAGTAATTAGCAGTTAGAGAATTAGCAGGAAAAAAACTCATGTTTTATTTAGCAGCTGTGGAGAAAAACAACCCAGATATTCTTCTGTTGTTGGTTCAGATGCTAATAAACAGAGTATTTTTGGTTTAATACACTTGAGACAAATGGTCACAATGTTTAGGGTTTTTATGAATTTTATTAGTAGTTTATATTAGGGCTGCTCCGTTCCAATCATGTGTTTTTGAAAGGATCTGAATCGGGAGAAATGAATCGGATTTAACCTTTTAAAAGAACCAACACGACTTTTTAAATTCATTCTGAGATAGAGATTTTCAGATTGAATAAAAATGTCTTCGTTTTCATTTCGACACGCCCCACCACATCATCGATATTTGTATCTTATAGGAAAACAACACAGTAACGTCACACAATTTATGACAGGCAAGGACTCAGACACCAATTGCCGCTGTTAGCAAGCCTGCTAACACAGAGCTAACGTGTCTCCTCAGGAGAGCTAAGATATCTGCAGCTTGGTGGTATTTAAACCGGACAGCAAAGGCAGAGCTACAGACACTGGTAATGTGTGCATAATGAGCATTCAGCATGCTGGAAACGATGATTCGCTGCCTTCAAACAAGCTTTTCCCTTCGGGCATCAACAAAACAAATCACCGGCCTCCATTAATCCCCATTTTACCTCTTAACAGTCACAGTTCACATTGACATCAGACAAAAAGGCGGAGCCAGCCAACAGAGAAAGTTACGCTAATAAACAGAGAAATTGTCAACAGATTGCAAAACATGGAGGTTTCTAGTTCTCCTGCACCGAAGCTGCACGCTGGAGCTACAGGTGTTATGCAGAGAAAAGTTACCCTGCCTGTCATAGGCTCCACCTGCCTGCTCCGTCATGTGAACTCGGCTCACAGCAGCATACTGAGGGAGTAAACAACTTGAAATAAGAGCAACGCTGCTACTTTTAACAGGGTATCCGCGGGTCCTTGAAAAGTCTTAAATTTACTTTTCCAAATGTAAGGCCTTGAATCCTTAAAAATGACAAATAATCCTTACAGTTTCCAAAGGTCTTAAATTACCAAAGACCCAATAAACAAGATTATTTTATTTCTATAAAATGTTCATGAATTTCTAGTTAGCGTTCAGCATTTTTTGTGTACGATGTTGGCGTAAGCGGAACCGTACACATTCAGTTGGTTGTGAAAGGGGGCTGTTTTCAGATGAGCACATTAGCTGGTTAAGCTAGTGGGAGCTTGCGCCATGGGGAAGTGCAAGTTTAATGGTAATTGGATGGCTAATCCCACGTTCGCGACGTGGTTAGCACCGGTTCCAGGCAAGAGCTGGAAATTATAGCTTAAATTTAATTTAAAAAATTGCTTAAATTTGGTCAAAGTGGCCTTAAATAAGGTCTTAAGAAGTCTTAAATTTGGCTCCCTTAAACCTGCACATACCCTGTTTTAAGTATATTCACAATGTAAACAAGTTTTTCAATCTGTGTACTTTCTAAAAAATGAAAGTGAAACTTAAATGATGTTTTGTTATTTTAATGCTTTTCTGAAAAGTATCGGATTGGGACTCGATATCAGCAGATACTCAAAATCAAATTACTCCGAATGGGATCGGGAGCAAAAACCCGTGATCGGAACTTTCCGAGTTTATATCTAATATATGTTTTACCAGAGACCAAATAACTAATAAATAACGGCATTAAAGAAAGGTCCATCCTGCCAGCGTTGTAGTATTTTTTAATACTTGTTTTTTAACCAAAGACCAACACATGTGGGGGGCGGAGTTTGAAAACGATTATGGTTCATACTCATTTACAGGTGCTGGCCAGTAAATTAGAATATCATCAAAAGGTTGAAAATATTTCAGTAATTCCATTCAAAACGTGAAACTTGTACATTATATTCATGCAATGCACACAGACCAATGTATTTCCGATGTTTATTACGTTTAATTTTGATATTTATAGGTGACAACCAATGAAAACATCAAATCTGGTATCTCAGACAATTAGAATATTCTAAAGGCCAATGAAAAAATGTTTGTTTCTCTAATGTTGGCCAACTGAAAAGAATGAACATGAAAAGAATGTGCATGTATAGCACTCAATACTTAGTCGGGGCTCCTTTTGCCTCAATAACTGCAGTAATGCGGCGTGGCATGGACTCGATCAGTCTGTGGCACTGCTCAGGTGTTATGAGAGCCCAGGTTGCTCTGATAGTCGTCTTCAGCTCCTCTGCATTGTTGGGTCTAGCGTATTGCATCCTCCGCTTCACAATACCCCATAGATTTTCTATGGGGTTAAGGTCAGGCGAGTTTGCTGGCCAATCAAGGACAGGGATACCATGGTCCTTGAACCAGGTGCTGGTGGTTTTGGCACTGTGTGCAGGTGCCAAGTCCTGTTGAAAGGTGAAGTCTGCATCCCCATAAAGTTGGTCAGCAGCAGGAAGCATGAAGTGCTCTAAAACTTCCTGGTAGACGGCTGCATTGACCCTGGACCTCAGGAAACAGAGTGGGCCAACACCGGCAGATGACATGGCACCCCACACCATCACTGACGGTGGAAACTTTACACTGGACCTCATGCAACGTGGATTCTGTGCTTCTCCGCTCTTCCTCCAGACTCTGGGTCCTTGATTTCCAAAGGAAATGCAGAACTTGCTTTCATCAGAAAACATAACTTTGGACCACTCAGCATCAGTCCAGTCCTTTTTGTCCTTGGCCCAGGCGAGACGCTTCTTGCGCTGTTTCTTGTTCAAGAGTGGCTTGACACACGGAATGCGACACCTGAATCCCATGTCTTTCATGAGTCTCCTCGTGGTGGTTCTTGAAGCGCTGACTCCAGCTGCAGTCCACTCTTTGTGGATCTCCCCCACATTTTTGAATGGGTTTGTCGTCACAATTCTCTGCAGGGTGCGGTTATCCCTAGAGCTTGTACACTTTTTTCTACCACATTTTTTCCGTCCCTTCGCCTGTCTGTTAATGTGCTTGGACACAGAGCTCTGCGAACAGCCAGCTTCTTTAGCAATCACCTTTTGTGTCTTGCCCTCCTTGTGCAAGGTGTCAATGATTGTCTTTTGGACAGCTGTTAAGTCAGAAGTCTTCCCCATGATTGTGGTGCCTTCAAAACAAGACTGAGGGACCTTTTAAAGGCCTTTGCAGGTGTTTTGAGTAAATCAGCTGATTAGAGTGGCAGCAGGTGTCTTCTATATTCAGCCTTTTCAGAATATTCTAATTTTTTGAGATACCAAATTTGGAGTTTTCATTAGTTGTCACTTATGAATATCAAATTTAAATGTAATGAACATTGGAAATACATTGGTCTGTGTGCATTGCATGAATATAATGTACAAGTTTCACGTTTTGAATGGAATTACTGAAATATTTTCAACCTTTTGATGATATTCTAATTTACTGGCCAGCACCTGTATATTCATGAGTCAAAGGTCCCTCCTCAGATCGGCTCGGCAACGCAACTTTTCCACCGCCTTTAACAAAATTCAGATTTCTGTAGCCCCTCCTCCCAGGTATGGAAAGCAGCAGGGCCAAAATACCGACAGTGTACGCCTCTGAGTAGGGGATGCAAATGAGCCTGATGGGTGTTTGTCTCTGGGCAAGTAATCATAACCAGTGACTGTGTGAATGACTGCGTATGAACCACATCTGGATGCTATTTACATGATTTTACAATAATTCTAAATGCATAGTAAAAGAGCCCGTGGGTCAGCTGAGACATAGATCTCTTAACCGAGACTGGCTTTTTCTTACTGTGGTTGGACAACATTTTCTCATTCAGCCGGCTGGTGAAACTCCAGATTTCTGAAAGAACAAGTTTTAGACGGTTTCTCACGACTCCCAACAGAAGGACAAATGTGAAGTTTCCTCTTCTGACCTTCAAACGAGAGCGTTTCGATCCTCCCCGTTCGACCGTTATCTGGAAGCAGGCTCGGCGGAAGGCCAGAAGCCAAGAGGCGGTGGCAGGAAGAGAAAGACGAGCTTTTCATCCTCTCAGATGGACATGGGGGATTGGCAGCGATCACACTTTTAATTGGGCCTCGTTCGTCTCTTAAGCCCGTGGGTTTCTGGAGGTGGACGACAGGAAGGTTCCAGTTGGCATGGAGATCATCTCCATCTCCAGTGCTTTCTTCATATCAGCTACCCACAATCTCTGCCCAGACCTCTCTCTCTCTTTCTGTAGTTCACACCCTCCAGGCTCCACTCTTCCCTTCTCCACCTTCCTCTCCATCTTCATTCCTTGGTGATACCTGGCATATAGCTTTTCATGCTCCTGTCTCTGTTATCCCTCCCTGCCCGTCTCATATTCCCATCCGGCGCTCTCTCTATCTTTACCCTCCAGCCTGTCTGCATTCCCCGGTAAACTGCCTCAGATGGGATTCCTCACATTCTTGTGTGTTTTTCCCGTCTTGTTGCTTCTCTTGCTGGTTTCACACGCGACGCATTACCCACCGTGCATTTGTTTTGCTGTCTGGGGAGGGCCTAATCTCCAGATTATGAGCCTATTATGGATTTAATTTCTTATTTAAAAGAATATCTTAAATAATTTAGGGCAATTGTTCCAGGCATTGATGAACCTCAGCTTTATTTAAATAGCACATTTCTTACACAAAGGCAACTCAAAGTGCTTTACAGCAATAAAGACAGACACCAAAAATAAAAGCACCGAAGACAAAAACTAGAAAATTTAATTAAAGATTGTGACGAGAACTAAATGTGGTCAGCCAGGAAATCCTAAGAAGGTGAAAACATGGTGTAAGGGGACCCAAAGCTGTGAAACTGGTACTAAAACTAACAGATCGGGTAGGAAGTAGTTATGCAACGATACCATTTTTTTCCAAACCGATACTTAGATCTGAGTACTTGCCGATACCGATTACCAATACCGATACATCTACCACACAAAAAAATGCACTGATTTGGAATACAGATTTTATTTTGTTCTCTGCTTTCAACAGGAAAAGACTGTGAGGTAGATAAAAAGTAAAATATATGAATGGAAATCATCACAAAACTAAAATATTAGGTCAACAGAAATGATAAGTTACAGTGAAGCCATTTTCAAGCGACTGCATTGGTATCGGTTCCTGTTATCGGTTAACTTTTACCGATACCGATACTGGTATCAGTATTGATACCAGTATCGTATCGGTGCATCCCTAGTAGGAAGGCTAACCAGGACTTACTAAGTGTAAGGTGACTAAAACTAGAGCAGAGAACTAACGAGTACAATGAGGCATGAGTAAAAGTGATCAGCCATGAACTACTAAGCAAGTGAAAACACTGATTAGGCTGAAGGCGACTAGAACTAATGGTACAATGTACTACAAACACTGATGACTGAGATTAGTAACTAACAGGAATTCAATACTAGTTAGGAAGGCTAACCAGAAGTTACTAAGTGTGACATAAACCAGAGAGATGCCAGAAAGTGGTCAGCCTAAGTATCTTAGTAGTATTAGGCTGATTCTGCTCTAAAGGGCTCTGATCACACACAAACACGACTAGGAGGACGTTGTTCTTGCACCTTGCTCCCACCTGGTGGACATGAAGGGGACCTGCAGCCAAATGCACTGATTTAATAATTCCCTTGGTCTTAAACATCCTGAGCCTAGAGGATCACCGTCATGCATGTTTTAGAGGTTTCTCTGCTGCTGATCACCTGACCCGATCAGACCGGTTCCCTTAAGGACCATGACTGGACTGATTTCATGACCCATAGGTTTGTTGAGTCTGAGGATCAGTCCGACCCTCTGAGGCGTCGGGATTAAGGGACTTGTGTTGATCCTGCGGTCGTTGTTCAGAGCAGCGAAACCGGCGCCTCACCACCTGTTCAGGAGGCGGTTCTCACGTCGGTGGAATTTAGATTAGCTCTAAAATGTAGTTTTGAAAATAGTCGTCACGTCTCTGGAAAGCTTCTCAAGTCAGGCCATAAACGACTACAAATGCAACATGAATCGGGTGAAAACCTGCTGATTGGTCTGGTCGTCAGGGGGCGGGGCTACAATAAGGTTATAACACACTAACTGGAAGCACCCCACTATGGGGTGTTTGTGGTTAACCACCTCAGGGTCTGGCTCCATCTCTGTGAAAGTGATCCACTTAAAGCAGTTTTGATGTTTTCTAGTTGAATTAGCCATGGTGGCCATGTTGGATTGCTTTGATTCTAAATGTAGCAGATGGCTTTCTGAGAGTTGGATTAAAATCTGTCCTTTTCTTCCATCTTTCTGATGGAACTGGTCTGTTTGGGCGAGTCTGGATCTCCAGAACGAGTCTTTAACTCGGCCATCTTGTCTCTGCAGCACTACACCAAAGACGCCGACGGCCTGTGTACCAGGCTGGTCAAACCCAAGCTGATGGAGGGGACGGTGGCAGCGCAGGACGAGTTCTCCAGGAGTAAGGACACACCGAGCGCTTTACACCACTCCACTGGGACAGTTGTGTATTTAACCTCACAGACACACGACCTTCACACGGAGTTCAGGCGGAAGCTACGGCTGCTTTAAGGTGGAGCCATCATCTCCAGCCTAATGGCATTAATCAGCCGCAGAATTAATCCTGTTGTGTGGAAACGACCCAAGGTCAATCTCCTCCTCCCCCCTCCGTTCTCCTTCATGAACCCGTCCGGCCCGGCGGGTTCGTGCAGCAGAATAATCAAAAATTGATTCTCGTAAAAGCAGACGGGAAGATGGCCGTCGTCACTTTGAAACTGAATATGTGAATCGATGTTGTGGTTTCTCCTCTGCAGCCTTTCTGGAGGATTTCATTTAAACTTCAGAGGTTGTTGAATCTGCTTCTGTTTCTTTGCAGGTGGCTGGGCTTTGAACAGGAAGGAGCTGAAACTCCTCCAGACCATCGGTAAAGGAGAGTTTGGAGGTGAGGGTCTCATCTCCGGTCTTTTGTCCTAAAGCTCCGTTCAGCTGTGGTCCAAAGTTCTGAGAACAACACAAGAAGCGGCTGCAGGCTGTGATACGAGATGAGATGAAACACAGTTAGTCCAGAAGTCCTTTAACTGTGAAGAAGGTTTCACAGTGCCTTAGAAGGTCCAGCAGCACCAGGATGGTCTCCTTAAGTGGATTTAGATGTGGGATCTGGGATCCAGCCGTGCAGGAATGGCAGCAGTGAGTTCAGCTGAAGACTTTAGGAAGATAGCCTGATGTCAAGAAATCGCTAAGCTCCTTGGAAACCATCAGGAACAGTTTAGCTCAGAAGAGCCATGAATACAGAATGGTACCAAAACACCCCCAAGGAAACTCGCCAGACCTGAATTCCACGCACGGTCCATCCTCCAGAAGCAGGAGGACAAACCCAAACCCAGCATGGATGATGCAGAAGCTGCCGGACAGCAGGTCAGGGTGAACCACAGGTTTAGAAGGACCAACACTGGAGATGATTGCTGTCAGACCTGGAGCTTCGTTGGAACCTTGTGATGCTTAAGTTCTCTGGAGGCGTTTACCCTTTTTAATCCATGTCCTCTCCATCTTTAGATGTGATGGTTGGAGACTACAGAGGGACCAGGGTGGCGGTAAAGTGCATCAAAAACGACGCCACGGCGCAGGCCTTCGTCGCCGAGGCCTCCGTCATGACGTAAGCTCGAACGCTCGTCTGCTCTTCCCAGTTTTAGTTCCAGAGTTTCTCTCCTTATGATACTGGTAATGATGGAGGAAGCCTCACAGGTCTGACGGAACGTCTTCGTGTGTGTTTCTACAGGCAGCTACGGCACAACAACCTGGTGCAGTTACTAGGTGTTATTGTGGAGGAGAAGGGTAGTCTCTACATCGTCACAGAGTACATGGCTAAGGTGGGTCTCTCACTTCCTTCCACGTGAGTTTAGTCTTCTAAAATCCCAAAACGCGACTGGAGTGGCTTGTCAGGACTGAGGAGAGATCGGGTCTTGGGGGGTTAGTTTCAGTCTGCTGGAGGTGTAACCTCACACCCCCCCGCAGGTAGAATCGTGTGGATGAAGTCTGAGATTCTTTAATGTCACAGCGTTATCAGCTGACTGAATCTTTTACCTGTAATCATGGACGTAATTTTGGGGGGGGGGCAGGGGGGACATGTCCCCCCTACTTTTTCCAAAGTCAAGTTTTGACCCCTGTACTTTTTACCATCCCAAAACAATATTATGCTATATTAAACTGATGCTGGTGGAGCTCTGGGACCAAGCAGAAAACAACCGTTTGTGTTGAAGCCTGTTTCCCATTAGAGCATACTGTAAAGATCCCCCCCCCCCCCCCCCCCCAACACACTTCTAAAGTGAAATTACATCCATGCTTGTAATCAGTATCTAAATAATTCAAAACTACGTTTTAAAAACACGGTTTGCTGCGTCGCATCTACAAACATTAATATACAGATCAGGGTTAGGGTGTGAAGTTTAAAGACCAAGTTCACTGAGAAACAGGTTTTTTTTTCATAATTTAAAAAAGAAACATGCAGGCTGAACATGAAAATAGTCTCCTACACCTATATCCTGCAGTAGCTTCTGATAGAAAACAGACGGTGAAACTCTAGGTTTAGAAAATCCTGACAGATCTACGTCACACTGTCGCTAACATTCATGGACTCACCCATCTGGGCGCATGACGGGGAAGGCTGTCGTTGGTTTAGCCTCCAGCAGAGAACGTCTCGGCTAGTAGAAGCTAAATGTTAGCATTATAAATGCTAATGTTGCAGAACAGAGTCAGTGGTAGAATTGTGTCGCTGTTAGCCAATCAGAGAAGAGATGTCCAAATATCAGGAAATAACGCCGGGAACACAACGGCCGCCGAAGCGCCGCAAAACGGGGACCGCCT